AAAATCGTTTTTTTAGGCAAAAAAATCTGTTTCCCGAATTTCTTTAAATTTGGCAGGCTTGTTGGTCAGGTAAGCTCTGCTAACTTTATTCTTTAAGAAAAAAATCGGGAAAGGGATTTTTGAGCTAAAAAAACGATTTTTTTTTTCGAACTTTGATTCAGAAATACCCTGTATGTATACAAATAGCAAAGAGGTCTATCTACTCTGAATATATTATCTGGGTTTGTTTTGAAAAATTAATTGAAAATCTGAATATATCCCATGATACCTACTTGCCTTGCGTGCCAGGTAAAATTTGAAATTAAAATATTTGCAAATTCCTATTATTAGGATGCTTTTGTATTCCTCACTCGCCGAACAAGATATTTTTTTTACTACTAACCTGAGAAATTGTCATTATTCAATCTATTTTTCTAGGAAAAAATTGAATTTCTCTCCCTAGGTGAATAATGAAAATAATGAAAAAATACCTAGGTTAATAATGAAAATGACGTCATGACGCAAGGATATTGTCATGTTTCTATTGGTTCAATTTCATTTCCATACGTCAATTTGAAAAAAAAAACAGGTTTCTGTAGGTACATAGGAAGTTATCATAAGCTGTTGATAGAGGGCAGCACTTTCAAGAGGGCGTTCAAAAAAATAATTGGAGCACAGATTTTAAACAAATTTTTCATTTTCTACTAGCAGTAGTAAAAAAAATTCTATATATTCCTCGGTAGAGAAAGTCATTATATACCTCACTCATTATAAACCTCGGCGCGAGCGCCTCGGTTTATAAAAGCGCTCGGTATATAAGGACCAACTTCTCTACCTAGGTATATAATATACTATTATTAAACGACAGATGGCACTGAATTTCTTCCAATTTTGAGGAACTTGACAAAATTACAAATATCAGGTACGGACTGTAACAGCAGCTTCACCAATAATTCAAATTAAGTCCAAATCACACGATAAACATTTGCCAATCACCAAATACATAATATTCCATTATTACTTTATTAAGAATATGGCAGAGCTGCAGAGCATCATCCCATCAGAATTCGTAAAATATGCACAAACTTTGCTCTGCTTCTCTAGAAATGTTTAAATGGCTGAGATATTTCCAAAGAATTGAAAACTTCTCACAGTTTAAACATGCATGAAGCTGGAAGAGACGGAACAACTGATGTAATTATACAGGCATTCTAGTCATCACACCCTCAGGGTATATGGAAAACTGTTGAAAAACAAGAACTAGCAAGAGTTCAACGACAGCAGAAGAACGAATCGGCTTCGAGATGACCATTTTTTTCTGTTCTTATTAGATTGTAGTACTAAGAACCTAGGAAACTTCTTATGCCTTCAAATACTTTCTATTTAAATACAATAATTCTCAAGTTTTACACGAACAATAATTAATATAATGACACTCGACTTGACAATATTTAATTAATGACAACTAACTCGACAATCAGAAATATACCTGTCTAGGTATCACTGGTATCACTACAGTTTCGGCCAACCTGACAATTGAGTCGTCCTCGACTAAAAGTCTTGACATAGGTGATATAATGCAAGTAGCTAATCAATAAATCTAACACAACATAAAATTAGTCAATACAGATTTATTGATAAAGACAGAATGATGGAATGAATTTCTATGTGATTTGTGAAGTAGACATAAACATAATTCATAAATATCTCATAAAAATCCATGTACATAATTGGAGTGTGAAAGATTCATAATTCATAAGTTATTGCATATCATAAGTTATTATAATAATATTTCGAAGACAAATATAAACTATCCCGTGACACAAAACAATAAAATCATGATAAAGTATGGATAAGTACCTGTTAGTACTGATAACATATTATACTCAAGAAATACAACAAAATAATATACTTTTCTAAAATAAAAATCTACTAAAATAATGAAAATACAAGTTATAAAATATCAGAACAAGTGGGTAACCATAACTTCAAATTATCTGGACCATGAATACCTTCATAAGGGATTTGTGTTATCTGAAATCCTTCAATATCCCTAACTACGTATCTATCATGATCCAGTACTTTCACAACCTTATAGGGCCCTCTAAATTTGGGAATTAATTTTTTGTTCATCCCTGGGCTTACGCCTACATTTTTTATCATCACAAAGTCACCCAAATTGTATCCCTTAGGAGTTTTATGTCTAGAGTCAAAATATTTCTTATTATATTCCTGTACTTTAGCATTTTGTCTACAAGCTTCATTTCTTACTACATCAAGATCTGTTACTTCATTTTCAGACTTTTCAAGCTTTAAATAATGTCTAAGACTATCATTTCTATCTCTCTGATTTACCCCAAATAATAACACAGCAAGACTTTTACCTGTTGATCTACAAATAGAGTTATTTATTGAGAATTCTACATCCCCCAAGTGTTTATCCCATTTATTAGTCAGTAAAGTTAGCTTCGAAAGCATTGGGGTTAAATCTCTATTTACCCTCTCAGTTTGACCATTGGATTTAGGAGAAGCCGATGCTATTTTTATGTGAACTAATTCGTGAATGTTGATAAAATTTTCAAATTCGTAAGAGGAGAAAGCTGTACCTCGATCTGACACAATACGAACTGGCTTACTATAATTATTGAAGTATTCCTCTAGTTTAGAAATAACTTCAGAAGTAGTTACAGATTTAACAGGATAAAATTTCACAAACTTAGTGAAGCTGTCAATTACTTCAAAAATATATTTTTTATTTCTTGGAGTTTTCTCAAGAGGACCAAAATGATCAATGTGAATCGTTATGAAAGGTTTATCTCCTTTAGGAATAGAATGCAAGGTACCCTCTTGTGAACCAGTTTTTTTCGAATATGTTAAACATTTTATGCAGTTTTGAATGTAAGTTTTGATTTTATCGTGCATCTTTGGAAACCAATTCACTCTGGAAAGATATTCTATGGTCTTATCAATTCCTACGTGCCCCAAATTATCATGACAATTATATATGACTTTGCCTTCCATAGCTTCAGGGACATAAAACGAAGAATCATTTTTATTTTTTCTATAAACCAATCCGTTCCGCATTTCAAATTTTTTGTCTTCTCTATCGATCAAAATAGATTTAATTTTAATAATTTCTGGGTCTAAATTTTGAGCTAAAGCCAAATTCTGTTCAAACGTGTTCTCCTCTAAAATGAATATACTATTGGCTCGACTTAAAGCGTCTACATGTTTCATTCGGTTATTATCCCTATGCTCTAAACTATAATCATAATTCTGTAAAACCAAGGCCCACTTATTAATTTTACAATTTATTTCCTTCTTATTAAGAGCTTGCTTAATCGAATTACAGTCAGTTACAATTTTAATTTTTATTCCATGGACATAAAAACCCTAAATCTTTCTAAAGCATACACAATAGCGAGCATCTCTAATTCATAACTGTGAAATTTAGCTTCCGCAAAATTAGTTCTTTTACTGAAATATGAAACTGGTCGAAACAAATCATTATTTTGCTTTTGTAAAAGTATTGCTCCAAATCCTTGGGCGCAAGCATCGCAATGTAGTTCTGTGTCTAATTCAGGAGAATAGATAGCCAAGATTGGGGCTTCAATTAATTTGGTTTTCAAAGTATTAAATGACTGTAATTATGATTCTTTAAATTCTAACTTTGATTCTTTCCTAATTAAGTCATATAGTGGACTTGACAGAAAATCCTTGAATAAAACGCCCAAAGTATGAAGCTAAGCCTAAAAATCTTTGAACTTTCTTTTGGTCATCAGGAATTGGATAATTCTCAACAGCTAAAACATTATTGGGATTTGGTTTGATGCCATTGTCATCCATCAATTACCCTAAATATAAAATTTGATTCTGTAAAAATGAACATTTGTCAATTCTAAACTTCAATAGGTTTTTGACAGAAATTTTTAAAACATTCTTTAAAATGTCCATATGTTCAGAAATTGACTCTGTTGCAATAAGAATATCATATAGATAGATCAAGACTTTATTTTCCCTTGTCAAATCCTTGAAGACGTGGTTAATAAATCTCATGAATACAGAGGGCGCATTACATAAACCCATAGGCATAAATAAATATTCAAATTGTCCCAAAGGAGTAATAAATGAAGTGTACTTTATGGAATCTTCTGCCATTTTTACATGATAGAACCCATGTTTCAAGTCTAAACTAGTAAAATAGTTCTTATTTTTCAGAAGGTCTAAATGATCGTCTATTAGAGGAATAGGATAATGATCCTTAAATGTCACTTTATTCAACTCCCTAAAATCTACGCATAACCTTAAAGTTTTATTTTGTTTTTCTCTTTTAAAACAATCGGACTGCAATAAGGACTATTACTCTCTCTAATTATTCCATCATTTAAAAATTCATCTAATATTTTCCTCAATTAATTTTTTTCTGAATAAGACAACTTACGAGGCCTAAAAGCAAATGTTTGTTCATGAACTAAGCTAATTTTCATCTTTAAATCAACTTCAGGGATATCAGAATGTTCAGGCTCTAAATATTCTTCAAGAAATAAATCATTTACCTTTTTAACTACCATTGGGTCAATTTGAGCATTAATATTTAATGAAAAGTTAGTTTTATCAAAATCATAATCAATAAATAATTATTCATTATTGACAACGTTATTGAACTTACTTTGAACCTTTTTGATAGTGACGTTTCGCCCAGAGTGATCTCAAAATTCTCTAACATGGTAAAATCTCTTCCCAAAATTGAGGGTACAGTTATGGTTTCATCATTTACTACAAAAAATCTTATTGGGACATCCACATTGTTGATAACTACTCTTTCATTTAAAACACCTAAAACTTGTAACTTAGAATTATTTAAGCCAAAATAGGAACTACTGTCGTTATTTTCTTTAAGCAAATAGAATGGCACATATTTGGATTTTATCAAACTTATTGGGCTACCAGTATCTAACATGGCTTTTAAAGTTATACTACCTTCAACCTCATCACTCTGATACATTATTTCCAGTGGTAGTTCATGTCCCATCTTTTGTAGAAGATCCTATAACCATAGTAGTACTAGCAGGCGTCACTGAAGTCCTTTGAGGGCAGACATTTCTCAAATGTTGTTTTGAACCACAACTGAAGCAGGGTCCTTTTTCTCGTTTAGGTTTAGGACAATTTGCAATTAGGTGTCCTTCCTTATAGCAATTGAAACATCTAGCTTTCTTTGGCTCCACTTGAACAGTTCTACTAGCACCAGATATGGATGAGGCATTTACCACAGGCATAGTATTTTTAGGTAGATGTTTTGGCCTAATAACACTTTGCGCTGTGTGTCTAGTACGTCTTTCATTAACTATACGATCATATTTGATCATGTCATGATAAAGATCATTAACATCAATGTGATCTTTGGTCAGTAGCATGCTTGAGAGTTCACGTGAAGAAAGGCCAATTATAATTTGTTCTTTTTGTTCATCAAAGCTCAAACCAAGATCCTGACATAATCTAATCTTTTCATGATAATAAAAACTTAGATCCTCACCTGGCTTTTGACATCGTGTTGATATTGCCTTCCATAAAGAAGTTACATTCTTACGAGGGATAAAAGTATCTCGAAATTCTTGTTTGAATTTTAGCCATGATGGTATTCTACTTCTTCATGCTTCATACCAATGTAGAGCCGCACCAGTAAGCTTCGATCTAGCCGTCTCCAAAATAAACTCATCTGGCCAATGGTGGAGTGTAGCTGCACTCTCGAGGGATTCAAGCCAAGATTTGCTTTTGTCCAAATCTTCACCAGCATAATCGGAAATAGTCTTTGAAAAATCGGGTATAACTGCATAATTACGCTGAGGAATTTGATTCTGCTGATTGTTCATAAGAGCCTGTAACACCATTGCGTTTTGATTCATAACCTGGTTAATTGAAGTCATAAATTCGGTCATATTGAAAGCATTATTGCCCCTGTTAGTGCCTGTAGCTTCATTTGCAAATCCAGAAGCAAAGCTCTCAAAATCTTCGGCAATTATTGTCTGGTTTTCTTGATTTCTATCCATCTTTGTATCTCACCGCTCTCCTATGGCTTCGGACCAAAATCCGTCGTCATCCGCTTCACTATAGCTTCAGACCCCACACCTGATTAACTGTAGTACTAAGAACCTAGGAAACTTCTTATGCCTTCAAATACTTTCTATTTAAATACAATAATTCTCAAGTTTTACACGAACAATAATTAATATAATGACACTCGACTTGACAATATTTAATTAATGACAACGTGATGACAACTAACTCGACAATCAGAAATATACCTGTCGAGGTATCACTGGTATCACTACAAGATGATAATTTAAAAAAAAATAGATTTCAATCAGGAAATGATTCTAGTATAGGTAAATACCACAGTGTACACAAGAAAATATGAAAGTATGTAACAAACAAATACGTTTTCGTAGTTAAACTGTCATGTCTATTATTGTCAGGCGAAGCTCCGACCAAACCTCTCATTGGGATTCCAGGCACAACTCTTTAGAATCTCCTCAGAACAAGCCTCAAGGATGCAGTGTGATGGGTATTCCACTGAATTTATGTTGATCTGGAGAATAAACGTTGAAATCTGCCAAGAGAGGCTTCCAGTTCAGAGTTTGAAAGTTACCTCATACCTTCACTCATTTGACAGAATTTTTTAGGGTCATGTCATTATATCACGGAATAGTAAATCTAGTGATTTGTAAACTGCAATATATTAGTGGTAAGGATCCAATTTGATCTCGATTTACCAAAGAAACAAACCGACATAATATCCAAGTATGATAGAAACCTTGGACTATTGTTTGTTGAAAGAGCAAATCATGCAGCCCATGTTGTTGTAAAATTAGTTCGAGTTATTCAGTCAACAATTAGAGAAAATAAGTAATTGTTTTTCAAAACAAAGCAAGTTTTTATCATCAAATCCCTATATTGACAATAACAACATTGTACGCATGTTGGGGAAAGAATATAAGACTTTAATCACAAAAGTCAAATTTTACAAAATAATAGATATTTTAAAAAAAGGTAACTTCATTGTCTTCATTGCGTGCAGCTAATTTTTAATGGATATTTGAATATGTTTGGGAAGGATTAAGTGTGTTTTAATGATAATTTATTGTATCTATTTTGCACATATTCGTTGGAAAATAAATTAATACTCTAAGCGCCGGTTTATTCATCTTCTGATAAAGTGTCAGGTATGCTATGTGCTAAAAAAGTAATCTGTAGGTAATCACATTGGTCGGCCAGATATATGCCGACCAATAAAATTATAGAACGGAGAATTTATCTTGCAGATAGTTACCAGGAAGTTTATCTGAATATGAATAAATCGGGCCTAAATGAGAAAGAAATACTAATATCACTTATTGAAACCGACCATATTTCTTTGATAAAAAAAACAAACTTTTTTATAAATTTATAATAAACAGCTATTTAATAACCAAAACCAAAAAATTAGAACTCACCAGTAAACGCGATCCCATACAAAAACACTGAATCTTTAGGTGTCACTGGACTATATGGCTTCAAACTCTGAAATTTTAGATTCCATTTACCGTCGTTATCCATTGTCGTGGGCTTATAAACGACTTCCGTATCAGTTTTGAGATCGACAGCGTCTCGCTTATCGATATTGATACCAAAGTTTATACGCACTTCCTCAGATTGTTGTAATTTTTCGAAACTACCTTGATGCGACATTTTGACGAACAACAATTAAAAATTAGCAAGATGCTACTCTTTCATTAAAATTGGAGACAAGTTAGCATGTTGGTTATTGTGTGACTTTTTCATAAATAACAATTATTACTGTAAACTTTTTCGAAAGGTGGGATAATATGTGCATTTATTTATACTTTAAAGCCTCCTCCAAATATTTGCCAGAACAGATTCTAGCATTGTCTTTTATTCTGTAATATCATACTGAAATCCTTCTGCAAATAGCATAAATTCAATATAATTTCAGCTCCTAGTGTTGATTAAAAATTTAAAAATAAGTGCTTTGTGTTTATTGAGCAAAGGTTGTTTGCAAAAGTTGTATACTGTTTATTGGACAAAATGAGGTGAATTTAATTAATCAGGCATTTTTCGTCTTTATCATTCTCGTTTACTTTTCAATTACGTTGACAAGGACAAAACATTCGTTCTATCGGGGAGCTTTACTCCCTGAAACGAGAATCCGGCTCCTCATGAGAACGCTGTTCCTCGGTTTCGAGAATAAAGTCCCTCCTCAATGGCTGAGCTTAGCCGCTGGGACCGCCTGAATGCACACAATCATAGATAAGGGATACAAAACTCTCTCGAACCTATAATATAGATAGGCAACTCAATACAAACATTTTGTTCCTGATTACAGCGCCCTCTCGCGTGTGTAGTCAGCAACTTGAGAGCGGGGGAAGCGCTTCTTTTTAAATTTAATTTTTTTTTCTTTAGGATCCGTTTATCAATTTTTATTGCCACTAGCACTGAACTATTTAATATGTTTCTAGTGGAAATAAAATTATGATAAACAGTCTCTTGATCACATACCGAAGAGTTACATACTAATTAATCCATGTATTAAATACAAGAATACCAATTTTGAATTACTTTATTGATGATATCAACCCAATCAATAATAGGTACCTACAAGAATAAGATTTTTTGATTGTGAACGTTTTGCAGGCATTAAATGAACACCTAAAAAGAAAGAAAGTTACAGTGGTCAAATTACAGGGAGTTAAATCCAGATTTCGGTATAATGTGGGGATTGAAACATACCTGTTCATCATTTTTGGGAATTCGATGAATTTTTACTCTGTTCCCTCGGCTTTCACACATTGCCACACAACAAGATAAAACCATTTTGCTTTGAACGGAGAAAATTTTCAATCTCTGATGCGAATTATTGAATAAAAATGGAATATGTCAAAATTTGTCAAACTAATGAAAAAGTAAAAGTGAAGCGATGCTGCCACATGTCAAAAGCATGGGATATTTGTTTTGAAAAAGAAATGTAATTTCAAATCGTACTACTAGCAATTATATGTTAGCGAGGTAGGTACACGACGTTATTTTCCTATTGTTGGAAGCTTTTTAAAACAAATAAATAATAATCTGGACTTTTTATGTATAAATCTGACAACAGCATTGGACGACAGCGCCCCTGCCGTCTGTAGTCGCAAGCTTTTAGCGGAACAAATTGCGCCATAAGAGTTGCACATGCATGCACACAATGTATCTATGACAAATGTCAATTTAGTAATTGATTTATATTATGATTTATATCCTCCAAATTTTAGACCAGATGCATATACGCTCTTTTGGCAGAGATTGAAATTTTCTTTGACCTATGTAATAAACATATCACAACTATTGATAATATGCAACAAGTAATGAAAGTAGCATTAATAGTTATTTACATTACAAGTGCGTTTATGAACATGATCACAATAACGAATGTGAAAGATTAGAACGATGAGTAGACCGAGTCATTCTAATCACACGAGTTTTGTAGTCATGTTTAAACGCACGTGTGATGTACAGCGTTTTATCTACAAAGCGAAAAATAAGAATGTTTTTTCAATCATTTTCGTTCATGAGTCATTTTACTTTTATAGGTTTAACTTTGACATTTGTCAAATCACCAAAAAGAGTTGTGTTATGAATTCATAACTTAGTCCATAACACCACTAGTTGTGTTATGAATTCATAACCTAGTCCATAACACCACTGTTCTGTTATGAGTCTCATGACATAACTCAAATACTATACCTTTTCAACTCCAAATTGAGACTTAACACAATCCAATTGAAAATGAACATATTCAAAATAAGATTAAACAGAATCAAATTGAGAATAACCAATTTCAATATGAGAATAAACACCATCAAATTGGAAACACGTTCAAATTGAGACCAAACAACTACAAATTAAAAATAACTACTATCAAATTGATGTTAAGCTCATTAAAAAAAAACACATATCAAGTAATCATATCTTATTCATGAACAAAATCCAAATTTTAGTAATCAATTTAAGCAAAGGAAGCATACCATAATACTATTGATAGCGCCATTTAATTTGAATTTGAATTTCGTGCGATATTATGATGGATGGCGCTCACAGCAGTGACATTTTGAAACTCTTGACATCTCTGCTCTTGACGTTCTTGAAATTAAAAAATAGAAGAATACGTAAAGACATGGTAGAAAAATAAGTTGTTTGAATCTGAATGAAATTATTACTGCATTTACATATTTAAGTAAAACATTCCTAGTAATCTTATTTTCTTATAATCGAGTAATCGACATCGACAATAAATCATAAGTTAATCATAGGTTTTTCTGTTTTTTATTTATTCTATAAAATTTGATGAATTACTCACAAATAAATTACCCACCCCAAACTTTTTTTTTTTGGTTTTTTAAAGTCAGTTGGCTCCTTACGACGTAACGGCCCCCCCATTACCAAAGCTTTCGGAACGCCCCTGGCTACTAATTCAACTAATTCAGTTTTATTTTCTTCAAAAATAGTTTTTTCTGCGATTGACAAGAAATGTCAGCATTTTTGACTGGTTAACAGGTCGCAAAACTCAATATTCTCGTATTTTAATTAATAGTTGCTAAGGAATCAATGAATAACAATACGGGAAACACTTTTCCGTCCTAGGCCGGGAAAGTGATTCTCGTACTGCTGAATATTTGGAACCAAAAGACAAACATTTAACAGGTATTTAACCGATCACAGAAAAAATAGTATGTGTATTTCAGTGGAAAAGCACATTCTCGGCCTTCGGTGTTTCTCGGCCTCGGCTGCGCCTCGCCCGTCAACTTACACCGGTGTGTGTGTCACTTTTCCACCTAAATACACAATATACTATTGTTGTGCAAAATGGCATTTAGTTTGCGTTATTTGTTTTTCATTTGTGACTTGGAGGGAATTCCTTGGCAAATAAGAATGTTAGCGGGTAATGAACAGAGTGAGAATATTGCCAATCGAAGAGGACAAGAATTGGGACTCAATGAACTGAATATTGACCAAAATACCCGCCGTATCTGTTTCAACTGCAGTAATAGTGTACTAGACGAAATTCGAGCATTTGAAGAAGATCCTGATACCACATCAGTTTTAAAAGTGATTATGAGACATAGTACTCGTTGCTGCTTTGTTTGTGAAATTTTTATTCCTGAAGGAACAAGGATATGCCCTAATCACTTGGATGATAACGGATTGATGTTCAAATTGGACTCAAATCTATCACAAGGCCCGTTAATTTGAAAAGTAGAGAACTAACAGCTTTTCTAACATGTCTGCGAGACAATGTTAAAACTGTTTCTAGTTTGAAAATGAAGACAATTATATAGTTGGGGAGCTGGCGTCAAAAACATGCAAGAGTTTTCGCAAGGCGGATATTTTCAAAATAGGTCGTACTTTAGTGCTAGAATGCTAGTGTACAGTCAGCACTCACAGTTCCGGGACAGCTGGCTCTGGGACGCGGGCAAAGTTGTAATTTTAAGAAGCATCTAAACTGTTTTCTCAAAGCTCAAAATTTATAGAAATTTTGCACATTATCTGTTTGAAGGTCACAGATAACGTATGTAAATCGTCAGACGTCTAGTTCGTTGCAAAAAGGGGGTCAGACGTCCTCAAAGTTTTTATTTTATGGCATTTTCTTCGGTGTCCTGTCAAAATATATTTTTGCAGGTATTTGACAAATATATTTGAAGAAAATGCCATAAAATAAAAACTTTGAGGACGTCTGACCCCCTTTTTGCAACGAACTAGACGTCTGACGATTTACATACGTTATCTGTGACCTTCAAACAGATAATGTGCAAAATTTCTATAAATTTTGAGCTTTGAGAAAACAGTTTAGATGCTTCTTAAAATTACAACTTTGCCCGCGTCCCAGAGCCAGCTGTCCCGGAACTGTCAGTGCTGACTGAACACTAGCATTCTAGCACTAAAGTACGACCTATTTTGAAAATATCCGCCTTGCGAAAACTCTTGCATGTTTTTGGCGCCACCTCCAGGGGTGCGTTCAAAGACGGCAATGCTAATGCCAAAACCTACTTTTCCCCCTCCACCGGTAATGCCGAACCACGTAGGTCGGAGCCGAACTCGAACGCAAAATGCCAATTTTGGCTTGGCTGTAGCCATTCCTGAACGCAGCCCTGGACTAATAGTGAAAACGAATTTAAAGCATTGACGTCGCTGACAAAAGGACAGTCTAGACTAGTTTAGAGACCTTTTCGAGAGGTGTAATAGAGTAGAGGTGTACAACCGGACAAGAACGACTGGAAAAACAAATCTAATGTGTTTTTTGTGTAAACTTAGACAAGGAATTTCCAATGATTTTCTCACATCTATATTTTCATATCCTAGTCGCCAGTCCACTAGCCTTGTCATATCGAAAGTGACAAGATCTTTAATGGAAAACTTTGTTCCACTTAATCTGGGATATAATCACATTACCCGCGAACAATTTATCAGGGATCATGTAACTGTTTTTTCGAATGAACTTTATAGTCCACAACCAAATACACCTACACTTTATTTTTCCCCAAGATAGATTTTGACATTGAAAACTTTGAAACATAAACAATAACGCTTGACCCGGATTGGTCGCAAAATGAGGTGTTTCTGCAGGTTGACATCAGTTTTAGAATAGCGACCAATAAGCGGCATTAGCGGCAATGTTTATGTTTCAAAGTTAACAA